AAAAAAAAAAAAAAAAAAAGCCAATGGTTTTACTTTTTGTAGAAGCAACTTCAGGGGAGCCAAGAAGATGGCCACAGCCATAGCCTTCCCGGCTGCTGCTGCCCAGGACACTAATGTTCCTTGGTCCTTTGCCTCCTAGTCCGCTGTCACTGTTTTCAGTGTAACAGGATTCCTTATGTACGTGAGATAGGTTAATAATCTTGATTCTTGCTAAATCACATTGCCCTTTGGACACTTCACTGTCCTTACCTGTCTCCACGAAGATAAGGCTTTTTGCTTATTCTCTAGCCTAGATTTTTATTTGTCTCTATTTGAATTTCTTCTCTGGTGATTTTCTATAGTAGTGGAGACAGGTTGGCTGAATCAGAAATAAATTTCTTTGGGGAAACTAATATCATGCGCCTTAGAGCTTCAGGAACAGAGGGCACCCTTTGACCTGCTGAGTTGAGTGCTACCCGGGCACATGCATCTTTCCCAGGGCTGAGGGGCACATTTGGTTATCTGTGGCTGTGTTGGGCACTTTAGCCTGTGTGGGTGGACGGGGTGCTCAGCTGGCTCCACTTTATGATGCTGTTACAACACTTGCTTATATTGCAAGATGGTTACAGGCTATTGCTCTGTCTGCAAGGCCATGAGCATTAACAAGGGGCAAATACAGGATGGAGATGCCACAGCATTTTCCTTAATCACATCTTATACCCACTTTCTATGTGGCCGTTTTAGGTAGCCTGGACCTTCTGATAGGAACAGCTGTTGAGAGGTACTGTACTGAAACTACTTAACTTAGGATCTTTACAGCTTTTGAATTTCGGGCCCTAAATATGAACTAGGTCACTGATGCCTAGTGTGGGGTTAGAGTATCCTAGACAGCATAACATGTAAATATGCATGTGACAACTCCATGCCACTTGCAAATGTAACTATTTGGTTAAAGTCAGTGAATTTTGATCTCTGAGTATTTAGGAATTTACAGTTTGGCTTGGCACCCATAGCACAGTGGTTACAGTGCCAGCCACATACACTGAGGCTAGCAGGTTCCAACCCAGCCCAGGCCAGCTAAACAACAACTGCAACAAAAAATAGCCAGGCATTGTGGTGGGCGCCTGTAGTCCCAGCTACTTGGGAGGCTGAGGGAAGAGAATCGCTTAAGCCCAAGAGTTGGAGGTTGCTGTGAGCTGTGATGCCACTGCACTCTACCGAGGGTGACATAAGGAAACTCTGTCACAAAAAAAAAAAAAAAAAAAGGAATGGAATTTACAGTTCAAGTCTTTCAAAATGCTTTACTTAAAAGACAGAAAAAATAACTTCATTTTGTCAAGGACATTGTCCTGATTATAAGACTATATATAAGCACTGGCCCCTGCCCTTTGGAATGCATCTACACTTCACTGTCCTTACCTGTCTCCATGAAGATAAAGGCTTTAGAACCTTAGGTATGACCCTAGTTGCTTTTTTGCAAAGCCTTTTCCCTTGGTGCTCTTAGGGATCTGGGTTTTCTTTCTTTCTTTCTTTTTTTTGAGACAGTCTCCTCTGTCACCTTGGGTAGAATGCTGTGGCATCATAACTCACAGTAACCTCAAATTCCTGGACTTAAGCAGTCTTCTTGCCTCAGTGTCCCAAGTAGCTTGGATTTTAGGCACCTGACTAGTTTTTTTTGAGACACAGCCTCAAGCTGTCCCCCTGGGTAGAGTGCAGTGGCATCAAGCTCACAGCAACGTCCAACTCCTGGGCTCAAGCGAGTCTCCTGCCTCCGCCTCCCAAGTAGCTGGGACTACAGGCACCCACCACAACGCCCAGCTATTTTTTGGTTGCAGCTGTTATTGTTTGGCGGGCCTGGGCTGGATTCGAACCCGCCAGCTCAGGTGTATGTGACTGGCACCTTAGCTGCTTGAGCCATAGGGGCCAAGCTACCTGGCTAGTTTTTAGTAGAGATAAGGTCTCACTCTTACTCAGGCTCCTCTTGAACTCCTGAGCTCAATCTGCCTCCCTTAATCTCCTGGAATACTAGGATTATAAGCATGAGCCACTGTGCCTGGCCTAGGAATCTGGATTTTAAAAAATTTAATGATGATGTTCTTAATATCACCACAGATATAAAGCTTTTATGCTTATTAATAGTGTGTATGTGGTCTCCATCTTTAATGTTAGAATTTTGATTGGTCAGGGTATTCTTTCCAGCTTACACAAGTCATACTTAAATCTCATTTAAACGCAGATAACACCCAGATTTACAGTTTCTGCTGAAATCTCTCCTTCGGGTTCTAGTCTGCCTATATGGGCTCTTCTCTTGTGTGTCTCACAGGCATCTTGAACTCTATATGTCCAGAATAGCTTCTCTGCTCCTATTCCCTCCAGCAACTCCACTCAAACTGAGACTACAGGCACCTACCATAACACTCAAGTTCATCTCCCTTTGTGCCCGTTTGTTCAAAGCAGACATCACCAAAGCCTCTCTTCTCTCAGCCTGCCTATTTATCCAGTAGCAAGTCTTATCCATTCTGTCTCTAGTATAGGCAACACTTTAGGAAAATGAGGTAGGATTGCTTGAGCTCAGGAGTTCTGGACTAGCCTAAGCAACAATGAGACCTTGTCTCGGTAACAAAATTTAAAAGAAAAGTCATGTGGCCAGATGCAGTGGCTCATGCCTGTATTCCTAAAACTCTGGGAGGCCAAGGCAGGAGGATCGCTTGAATTCAAGTTCAAGACCAATTTGAATCAGAACACTTAAGAAAATTGGTATAGAAGGGACATTTCTTAAACTGATAGAGGCCATCTACAGCAAACCTACAGCCAATATTGTATTGAATGGAGTT